CTTTCGATTAGAATAATTCGATTGATATTTGGGCCAGGCCCATTCGAAGGGTACGCAAAGAGTCCATTCGAAAGAGGCAAATCAGGACTAATCGAAGAGCATGGCCTGAAAGCATTCGAAATCCAAGCGTCCAGGTTCATTCAAGGGACACGAATGTTTCAAAAGAGGAAATAATTTAATGTGTTTGATTTTTGTCCAGAGCGTTAAAGGACTATTTTAATGGATGTCCCTTGCCATTACTGCACCCTCACACCCCTATAAATACAGAGGCCAGCATACATTACCAACACGAAAATCAGAGAAAAATCATAGAATGAAACACACAAAACTCTGCAGGAGAACCCACAGAAAAATTGCCTCAAAGAGCCAAAGCAGTCCTTCAGATCAAAGGTGCCCACGCCCAGAAGCCCAGATCGAAAGTACCTGCATCCAGGAAGTGCCTAGATCGAAGGTGCCTACGTCCAGCAAACGTCCAAATCGAAGATCCAATCTGCTGGTAAGAAAGGGTAAATTATTCAACCTCATATTTGCATAATACATTCATACTTGTTGTTACCTCTGATTTGCCATCCTATACAGGATCAAAGGGCCTTGGTTTAGCACCCAGGTCATGTTTTTCGTGTGCTAACATTTGCTGTAGATTTAGCCTGAAGAGACCCCAACAAGTGCAGGATCGAAGGGCCTGGGGTTCAATACCCAGGCCCCTGCATTTTATTTCACTCACATACTTTTTCAGGTATAACATCCCAGATCGAAGGAGACACCTTCTCTAGATCGAACCCATTAGCATTCCTGGATCGAAGAAGACAACCTCTTCTCTGGATCGAAGGAGGCATTTCCTTCTCTGGATCGAAGCTCTCATTTTCCTGGATCGAAAGTCACCCCATCTGGATCGAAGCCTCCATGCTCTCCCTGGGTCGAAACTCCTTTTTTCCTGGATCGAAGGATCCCCCTTTGCACTTTATTTTTGTTTTCTCATAGATTTCTTTTTATCTTTTAATTAACATTAAAATAAAAAAAACCAAAAAACATTAGGCTAGTTCTTTTTCTATTAAATTAACTTTGTTAATTAACCTTTAATTATCTTAACATTTTTCCAAAACTAAAATTAAATAGATTAAGATTATTTTTTCCAAAATAAAATAAAACAACAAAAAAGATTTTATTCTTAGAATTTTAGAGTTTATTTTCAGATTCACGCGTTTATTTTATTGTGATTGCCTACTGGGATGTAATAGCTTAAACTAAGACCCTTTGCTGCTTTTGTTTCCCCAATTTTTGGACATGTAAATAACCCCCCTCCCCGAAAGCCTTGTAATAGCGTAGGATTTACAATTCCCGCACTTTAAATTTCTGTACATATATTAACTATTTAGATGCATGCTAACTAGGATTGTATGGCAAGATTAACTCTTAACTTAAAATCAACAATAGCTCACCATGACATGCAAGAGTAAAATAACTGAAAATTGACACACTTGCACATGCCACTCTTAGGGTACACCTCACTTGGTTGCCTCGAACGTGGTCATTAAGTATAGGATGTTTTAGAGGTCGTCCTTTGTCCCAAGATCATAAGTTGCCTCGAAATGGTCGCCTCGATAAAAATGATCTAAGACATTAGGATTACCACTAAAACGTCCTAACGTTGCTTTAGTGACCACACGTCCCTAAAATCGAATTGACCCGAAAACTCCAACGACGGTGCTACCTACTCCTCAATAGAAGGATAGTACTGTCTAAAGGACATTTGCACAATTAAATTCCTTTTTGAGTAGGTAGAGGTTCTTAAGTACTTGCTCTCTTTTAAAACAAAACAAAAACTTTTCGCACTTACACTTTCTTCAAAAACAAAACTCTTTTCAAAACCCACAAACACAAAGAAAAGCAAACCTTTTGAAAACATAGTGAGCAAGTACCTAAGAGCCCGTGGATAACCACAGATAGAAAGGGTGCTAACACCTTCCCTTTCTATAATCTACCTCCCGAACCCGAGAAACAATCTCGAAAAGGAATTTTTTCTGTGCTTTTGTCCTTTCCCTTGTTGGATAAAATAAAAGACGGTGGTGACTCTTGCTTACCACGACACTTTGCAAAAACAAACGCAAACGCGAACCAGCATTCCAAAAACAGTCAGTTCTCGTTCCCACTGACCACACCTGGAATCCGACCAGATAATAATTTAACTCCAATTTTCTGCGAAGCCTAGAATCCGACAAGATAACAGTTAACTTTATTATCCTCAGCAAGTTGCTATAAAGCCTGAATTTTGACCAGATAACAACTAACTTTTATTCTCCCCAATCAAGAAATAACTCCTCAATAGAGTGATGGATAACCAAATCCCCTGAACTCTATTCCCCAAATAGAAATCAACATTCCCCGTAAAGTTTTCTCAAGAAAAGTCAATGTTCCCCAGCGGTGTTCTCCTCGAACAACAAAACAGGAATCCCCAACGGAAACATTCTAAACAAAGTTTGAAGATACACATACTCTTCATCTCCAAACAGTAGTCTAGGATTTAACTTCCCAAGGCTCCCCAGCATTTGTCAAGGATTTATTTTCCAAGACAAAGATACACTTCAATAACATTTCACATTCATACATCATGACATATGTATATAACACAATCTCATTTATTTTGAGAACATCATTATTCCATGCATACATCTGCATGCAACCAACCCCCTTCCTTGCAGGAAAAATCAATCGCAAGTCCTCTTCTGGATAGATTCACATCTTCCAGTTAATAATAGGCAACCAATAGGCCTCTTCTGGTTAGAATTGTTTCCCCAGCGAAGTCACCAAACCAAGACCTCTTCTGGTTAGATTTACTTCTTCTAGATTAAAGACAGTCGGAGGACATCTGCTGTTTCAGTATAAATCGACCAAAGATTTATTTGATACTTCTCCTACCTGAAGTCAAGCTTTAGGTTTAGTCTAATTTCTCTATCAACAGTCACTTCTGGATGGCATCCATAAACCCATTTCTGACGATTCTCAAATACTTCTGATGGAATCTATAAGCCCATCTCCAACAATATTCCACCACTCTCCAAATGGAATTTATAAGCCCATTCCCGATGCAATCAAACAAAAGTTTTACCTCTTACACAAGCGAGTGCAAATTTCTGGGCACTCTAGTGTCCAATCATCTTCCACTTTCAAGCTACGAACGACAAACATGCCAATATCACTTTTCAAGTTTAAGAAGATTGAATAGGGGCAGTTGTTGTACCACAAAACTTTCCCTCCCAATTTTCATTCAAGATATTCTCCTAAGGTTTCTCAAATGCTCAAGATGGCTCAAGAATTGATTAGGCGAATTCTCCTCCTAAGCAGTAGGTCCATAGCTAGGGTTTTGTATTTCTCAAAGGAAATTGAGTTTCCAAGGTTTCAAATGGTCTTCATGGTTCTTCATGTATTCTCAAGGATGCTCATGCCAAGTTTCAAGCTTTGCATCGCAAGTTTGCTCAGTCAATAGTTCAGATGACTGAAAATCAACTGTGTTGACCCAAAAGTCGACCTTTCCAAGATCAAGTTCAAACGATTGTAACTTCTTCATTATTCGATATTTTTGAGTGGTTCTTTTTGCGTATGGTTCTTCTTGATGTCATCTCCAATTTCTCTTTACAAGTCAAGAACTGATTACGTGCAAAAGATCATCAGAAATTCGAATGCTTTAGAGGTCACTTTCTAGATTTTGACCTAATCTTAAGTAACTGTGCCCGACTTCCAAGAATCGTAATTTACCTAATTTTCAAGATCTTGAGACGATTATTTTTGCACATTGTCATAAGCGATATTGTCAACAAGTTCTCTTCAAGAATCAAAGGAAAATTGTGTTTAGAAGACCTCGAAAGGCTATGATTCTCATGTTGAGATTGTTAATGGAACACGATTTTGAGTTTGGAGATTCATGTTGAGTTCGAACAAGATGTTGCTTATAATACAAGTCGCCGTGTTGAAAAACGGATCTAGGATCTTGGTGAAAGTGATTTGAACAATGGTTTTGGATTTAAATTCTAGTTAGCAAGGCACTACATGTTTCGTCCAAATTTTCTACGATTCATTCGCGGGATTTATTTTGAATTCAAGGTGTCAAAGAACGAGTTCACTAAAATTTTCTCAAATTCATTTAAACTTTGGAATGATGATAAAGTTATGCTTTGATTTATGGTTGCTCTAAGTCACATGAACCAGATCAAATTGTCAAACTTAATTCAAAGTTTATGGCTATTCATTTATTTTCAAGCACATTATTATTCAAATGCAAGACTTTTTCTTAAGTCACATTGAAATTCAAAATTATTCAAAAGTTCAAGTTCATTCATGAGAAAGTATTTAGGCATACACTTGAATCCAAATCTCGTCCATAAATTTCAAGATTTAATTCATTCAAATTCAAAACCATTACACCATGGCTTGATGAAACATGGAAATCATTGGTAAAATTAACAATTCATGACATCACTCAAAGATATTCATCGATTTGGTTCATCAAAGTTTATCCAAAGATGAAATACTACAAGTTCTAAAGTCATTCAAATATCAAGCAATTTCCATCAATGTTCATGATTCATTCGATTTCCATACTCCATTTTCAAAACAAGTTCAAATGCCAAGCATTTTAAGCCTCATCAAAGTCATTCGACTATTTGAAGATTTCAAGGCATGGTGATCTATTTCAAAGACAAAAGAAAAATTAAGTGATTCAAAGAGAAAATTACTATGAAACTTGGAATGTGTCATTAAATTCAAAGGATTACCAAAGTTTACAAATACAAGTGGTGTTATAATGTTTCAAAGAACCTTTACAAACTATCTTCATGCCTAAACCCTGCATAATCTATGTTACAAACCACCATTCAACACAACCTTATCAACAACACAATCAGCCTAAACTTCTGATATCTCAAACTGTAACTCAACATCACCGTAACGGCTTTCTTCAATCTCCAATTCAACTCTTTGAAAATATCCAAACTTGATCCAAAGTTTCAAACAACTTTCACCATGTTGTTGTCTAAACTTCTACAAATCTCTATTGCCCTGCTATAGAAAATAGTCCATAAGCCAGTCCAACAATTACCTGCTAAAATTTGCATAAACAACCTGTCAATACAGTCCAAAAAAATTTGTACCATAAAGTCCAAGAATTGCATCAAATAAGCAAAACAGAAAACCTGCATCCAAAAGCATAAAAATAGCATATCATATTTGTTCAAAAGCTATCAATTCCCCCCCCCCCCCCCCCCCCCCCCCCCCCCCCCAAACCCACTATTGTTTTGAATATAAAACAGGGCAGCTCTGTATGAAGAAGAAAAAAGAGACAAGTTGCATCGTACTTCCTTAAAGAATCACCACAAAACCTCATCTATCTCTCCCTATAACCTCCATTCAATCTAATAACAAACCTTCTGCAAACATCACAATAATCAATCCTACAAATTTATCCCTCCTACATCAAAACCTTCAATCTTCAACCCCTTATCAAACTTCAAACTCATCTGCTGCTACTCACCACCTTCATCCACTAATCATCCTTACAATATTCCTCTGCCCCAATTGTTCATCACCATCCGCAAGTCAATTAACCTCCCCCCAACCTTCACAAACCTTCCCATTACTCTAAAAAAACACAACGATAAAAAAATATGTAGCCTCATCTTACGGTTACTTTCGAGATCTACACAAAACACGTAGCTCACTCAGTTCACACCCACAAGCATAAGCCCACACCTCGCCCTACAACAGTCACTACACGAATTCGTAACGACACACATCCAGAAGAAAAAGAGAAGAATGAGGAATCTATAGCATACCTGAGCAAGATATCCGTGGATTCGTTTGCATCGCGATTGAAACGCCTTTGGGGTGACTCCGACCTGTAAGTATTAATCCCTTCTTCATTTTTTTGTAAACATTATTGTTGACGTGTTACCACAAATGTTGGCTTAAATTGGGAATAAGGATCTTCGATTTCTGTCAGTAACAACATATCCATATGGGTATCGATGCCTGTGAGATCTGAGAACATTGAGCAAGCAAGATTTTGTTTCTGTTTTCTTCTTGTTTTGAGATTTGATGAAAAGAAATTTTGATTGTTAATGAATGTAAGAAAGAGACGTTGCCTCATTTCAGGGTTTATAACACGTTCAAGTATTGAGTGGAGTTAGGCCCGGACCCACTGACCCGATCTGGCCCAACGCAAAATTTTTTTTAATTTTTTTTGTTGTTTTATTGATATGACAGATTTCGTGCTGAATCTTAAGCCCATTTCAAAACGGCTACCTTCCACCCCTTTTGATTTTGTTTCCACCCCTCATCTTTGTTTTAAGTTTTAGTTTAATATCTTCTATTTTAACATAACCCTCTTTTTATTTGATTTAGATTAATTTGATAATTTTAGAATTAGTTTAGATGTTATCTAATAACGTTAGAGTTAATTTTAGTTTATATTTAATTTAGTAATTTTATAATTAACTTAGTTTAGGTTAGTGACTTAGAATTTTAAGTTAGTTTAGAATTATTTTAATTATTTTATTTAGTTTAGATTTAATTTTATTAATCTTTAGTATTAATTTTAAAATTTAATTAAATAAGAATATATAATTTCAAAAATTAATTAATTTTCTTAATTAGTTTAGTTTAGGACTTTATGAATAATATTATTACCATCTTTTATCGCTTAGTTAACTTTCCTTTAAGTTATTTAGTTTCTACATGATAAAAATTCAAATAAAAAATAATAGAATAGATTTTTTTATTATTACTTTTTCTTATTTTTAAATTTTCTCGCAAACAAAATACCAAAAATATTATTTTAATTATTTTGCCAATTAATTTTACTTTAATAAGTTTGTTTTAGTTTAATTAACTGTTTTTTTTTAATTCGATTTGGTTGTATTGATTGTTTATTTAGACTTTTAATAGCATTGACGTTTCGATCTATCCCCATTTGAAAACTTGTATCCCCATTCCTAAAAGCTCTGTAATAGCGTAGAATTTTAATTTCCGCAATTTACAATTTTTCTTTATACTGTATAGTAATTAGGCGTGTATGGCAAGATTTAAAATCAACCGCTAGACAACCCTAATCAAAGACAAATTAACTTGAATCAAACACACTTTTCACACATGCACCTCTAGGGTAACCTCGCTTGTTGCCTCGGAAAAATAGTCATGTCCCTCGAATGTGGGATGCTTTAGCAAAGACCCTCGATAAAAAAGATCGTAGTCCCTCGATGTCCCTCGATGTTGCCTTCGGTAAACGATCCATTCCCTTACGAAAATTGCTAAAGCGTCTTACAAGTTACTTTCTATGACTGTACGATTGACCCGCGCATGTCCCTTCGCATCCAATAATAGGGCTTCTTATTAGTCAATGGTAAGATAGCAACATTTAAAGGAGGAAGAAATGAACAATGACCTTTTGAGTAGGTAGAACGTTCATAGTTGCTTGCTCCCAAAATTTTCTAAATAACATCTTTCAAACACACCAACACTTTCAAAAAATGAAATATTTTCTAATAAGTCAACACTTTGTATACATTCTTATAGAGATGAGAGTCATTAGAAAGTTCTCCTAAATGAAGGCACTTTTCAAAAATACTTTCAAAACCCATCACAAACACATTTCAAACAAATCGTTTTCAAAGTGATCAAGCAACTAAGAGCCCGTAGATAACTATGAATGAAAAGGGTGCTAACACCTTCCCTTTTCATAACCTACCCCCCTAACTCAAGAAAATATCTCAAAAGATCTTTCTTGTTCTTTTCACCCTTTCCTTTTTTGGATAAAAGAAAAGTCGATGGCGACTCTTGCTATCCGCAACAATTGGGATAAAACGCAAAACACCCAAGTTAGTTCTCCCACCGTATTACAGTTGGGAAGCATTATTTAGGACTTCAAACTTGACAGAAGCATTATTTAGGACCTATGAATAACCATGAAAGTCACTTGAGGCATTATAAGTCCAATTTTCCTTGAGAAAACCAAAACCCTAGTTATAGGCCAATGCTTAGGAGGAGATTTGACTAGTCAACTCTTGAGTAGCTTTGACTATTTGAGACCTTTATGAAAATGTCTTGAAGAAAATGGGAGGGAAAGTTTTGGGGTACAACAACTGCCCTTGTTCAATATTCTTAAACCTAAAGAGTTAGATTGGTTTGTCTGCCATTCATGACTTGAAGGTAGGAGATGATTGAACACTTAAGTGCCTAGAAATTTGCACTCGCATATGCCCGAAGTAATGTTGTTCGTTGATTATACTGGGAATGGGCTTAAAGATGCCATTTGGAGAGGTGATAAAGGATTGTCAGAGATGGGCTTATAGATGCCATCCAAAGTAACTGTGGATAAAATTTAGACTAAGTCTACGCTCGACTTTAACTGGAAGAAGTATCAGAATAAACCTACGCTCGTTTTAAATTGAGCCAAAAGAGGTCTTTTGTCTTTAACTGGAAGAAGTATCAGAATAAATCTATGGTTGATTTAATCTGAGCCAGAAAATGTCTACTGGAAGAAGTATCAGAATAAATCTATGTTTGATTTAATCTAAGCCAGAAGATGTTTGCGTCCATCTTTAATTGGAAGAAGTATCAGAATAAATCTTTGGTCGATTTAACCTGAGCCAGAAAAAGTCTACTGGAAGAAGTATCAGAATAAATCTACGCTTGATTTAATTTGAGCCATAAGATGTTTGCGTCCGTCTTTAACTGGGAGAAGTATCAGAATAAATCTTTGGTCCATTTAACCTGAGCCAGAAAATGTCTACTGGAAGAAGTATCAGAATAAATCTATGCTTGATTTAGTTTGAGCCAGAAGATGTTTTTGTTTGTCTTTAACTGGGAGAAGTATCAGAATAAATCTATGGTCGATTTAATTTAAGCTAGAAAAAGTCTACTGGAAGAAGTATCAGAATAAATCTATACTTGATTTAATTTGAGCCAGAAAAATTCTACTGGAAGAAGTATCAGAATGAATCTATGGTTGATTTAATCTGAGCCAGAATATGTCTTTGAAAATGACCCTTTGAGGAAATTGCTGAAATAGCCCTTTGTCAGATGTATCCTTTGAGAAGAATGTTGGGTCATATAAGTAGTTGATGATGTTTGTCTATTGGTTGATCTTTCCTGAAAAGGTAAAGAGTTAGTTATATGCAATGTCATGATGTATGAAATGCATTGCGTAATGATATTCTCAAAATAAATGAGATTGTGCTATATGCGTTTCGTATGCATATGCTATGATATTGGTAAATGATGTATGAATGTTAAATGTTGTTGGAAGTGTATCAACAGTTCTGTATGACAACTTGCGGGGGAAAATGAATCCCTGACTGGTGTTGGAGATGAAGAACATGTGTAATCTTCAACCTTGTCTAGAATGCTTCTGCCGGGGATTCCGGCTTGCTGATTGAGGAAACTCCGCTGGGGAATGTTGACTTCTGTTTGGGGAGAAGAGCTTAGGAACATTATTCGTTCGTCGCTCTACTGGGGAATTTACTTCTTATATACCCTGACTGGGGATAAAAGAGATGGATAACCTTTTGACTTGTCTGGGGAATTTAATTCTTATATACCTTGACTGGGGATAAAAGAGATGGATAACCTTCTGACTCGTCTGGGGAGAATAAAGTTGACTGATATTTGGTTCGGTTCCAAGTTTTGTAGCAATTCTTTGGGGATAGTGGTGATTTCACTGGGGAGATAAATTTTGCCAGTAATTCGTAGCCATCTGAGGAATAGACTCAAGTTGGGGATACTGTAATCTGTTGGGGAAATAAACCCTGTTAACAGAGAAATACTCTCCTTAGAAAATAAGCTTTGCTGGAGAGAAGAAATCTGCAAGGGGTTTTACAGTTTTGGAGGAATAAACTCAGCTGGGGAAGAGAATTTCCATGAACTATATTAATTGGAACTCCGTAGATTGGTGATATTGCCGAGAAAAGATCATATTCCCTTATCTGCCAGAGCATTTGTCGAAGAGATTGTGGGGAATGTATCTTCATTGAAGATGAAATTGTGAAGATTACTCTGTGGGGATAATCTCATGAAAGTGGCTCTGTGGGGATTTCTGGACGGCTTGAATGTGATCCTAACTCCTAGAGTCTTGAGTAAACACTTATTCCTGTTCTTATGCATATATTTGTTAATAATTAATCGTGTTCATATGCATATGTTCATTCAGTTTTAGCCATTGGACGTTTTTGCAAACAAAACAGAAAAATTAAAAAAACAAAAAGTTTGAATTTTTAGGGTGTATTTGCATTGATAGTTTTCCTATAAACAGGCGATTTTATACAAAGAGATATAAATCCTAGTAAGTGGAAATTATCGTAAAATGAAAAGAGTACAAAGTGAAAACAAAACATATAGCTATGTGGAAATGATCTCGTCGGGTTCAAATTTCTCTATTGCCCCTATGTCTTCGAATATCTCATCCCTTGTTGTCGGATGAAGTTGATTGAACCGATCTGTACCATTTAAACTTCTGATTTTGATAATAAATCTTGTTATAAGTGATCCAACGGGACATAGTCGTACGCTTTAATCCCTAACTTTTGCCTGGACCGCCCTTTCAGGTTTTCAGTCTACCGGGATACCCTTTTTTGCCCAAGTTTCCTTTTCAGGTTTTCGACTTGCCGGGTGTATAATCTTTTATATATATCCATAATTTTTTCCCGAACCCTTTTGGTTTGTCGGGATGCTCTTATTTTTCCTTAGGCCAGTTAACCTAGCAAGTCATTTTCATGTGTAGTATCTCTTGACTATGTTTGCGTTCACAGGGTGCGGGAATCTTCACCGTCTATAGTGGTCAGTATCATAGCACCGCCTGAAAATACTTTCTTAACAACAAATGGCCCTTCGTAAGTAGGAGTGTAATACGGTGGGAGAACAAACTTGTTGTTTTGCGTTTTATCGCAAATGTTGCGGATAGTAAGAGTCGCCACCGACTTTTCTTTTATCCAATAAAGGAAAGGGTGAAAAGAACAAGAAAAGGAAAGACCTTTTGAGAATTTTCTTGAGTTCGGAGGGTAGGTTATGAAAAGGGAAGGTGTTAGCACCCTTTTCATCTGTAGTTATCTACGGGCTCTTAATCGCTTGCTCACTTTGAAAATGCTTTGTGTTTGT